CTGCACCACGCTTGATCTACACTTAAGGCACCAGAATCACATTAGAACTACACGTGAACTACTTATGAGCCACATTTGAACGACCTTAGGTTTACGGTTAGAGTACAAGGGCTACGTGTGAACATCCTTTGGCTTACACCCGAAGTACACTTGGACCACGCCTGAGCGACAGGTGGCCCCCTTGTGCACTACACTTGAATTGTACTTGGTCCAGACTTGGGCTTTGCGTGAACTACAGTGACTACCATGCGCCGCGCTTGAATTACACGTGAACTGCATGTAAGCTGCGCCTCAACCGCACCTGAACTACATTTGAACTAGACTTGAACTACACTTTGAACTGCACTAGCACTACAAGGACCGCGCCCGAACGATTTTTGAAGCACACGCAAACTGCAGCAGAAACGCACCCGAATTTCATTCGAACTCCACTTGGACTACACTTGACCTACACATTCGCTGCGTTGGAAGCACAATGACCGCAACTGAACCGCACCTGAATTACACCTGAGCCACACTTGATACACGCTTGCGCACGCAAGCCCAGGACACTCGGGCACGCGCACTACACCGGGGACAACGCGAGGGCGCGCCCGATCAGTTCCATGGCCTCCACCCCCGTCATGCTTGACTTGAGTGAGTTTCGCACGAACAGCGCCGTTGCCGGGGCAGACAGGAGCGATCGGAATGAAACCCTTCTGGCGCGTGGCCGCGGCAAGCGTCGAACGCGGGAGCGCGCCGTCGCCGAGCGAGGCGCCCGATTTCGAGCCCGGTGGCCGACGGGGGGCCGCTCTGCGCGGCAGCAGGCCGCCGGCGGGGGGCGCCTTGGGTCACGGGCGGACCGCGCGCGCGCCGCGGTTTGCGCTGGGCCCCCAATCGACCGCGAGCGAGCCACGCCCGCGCGCGCAATCTAGCGCGGGTCGGAGATGGGGCCGCGCATGGACCAGGAGGGCGCTTGGTGCGTGAACCGGTTTTGTACAGGGGGGGCGGCTGCGTTGGCGCGTGGCTCGCGTACTTCATTATTCCATGCAGTCCGTGGCACATGTCTATGCGCGTGGCCCCCAGGTTTGTCGGCCGCGTTTGCATCGCCGCATGGCGCGCGGGAATCTGCGCGCCGCCACGGTTGGCGGGGCGCTTGCCCGCTGCCCGAGCGTGGCCAGCTGCTGCGCCGCCGCCGCCTCACGCGCGCGGGCATTCCGCGCCGCCGCCAGTTCGCGCGGCGCAGGGGCAGGGCGACGCGCGGACATCGGTGACGCCGTGCCGCCATCGCGCGCGCGATCGAGGGGGGGCAGCTCGAGCGCGCGCTTGCGTCGCGCGCGAGCTCATCTTTTACTGCGCCTGAAGGATGCGCAGGCCAGACTGTCCTGCTCGCGGCGGCCGTCCGCGGCGGCGCGGCGCGTCTGCGCTGGGCTCGCCGGGCGACGCGCGTCCCCGATCCGGCGGCTTGTCCGCCGCCCGCCCGCTCTCGGGCGCTCGCGCCTGCCCGCGGGCGGAGCGGCGCCGCCGCCTCCGAAGCGCGCGTCGGTTGCTCGAGCCGCGCGCGGCTAACACTTGCGTCGTTCTTGCAATGCGCCCGAGCGACGCCCGCGCCGCGCGCGCTCGGCCGCGCCGCGGCGCGCCGGGGGGGCGCGGTGCATGGGCCGCGACTGAGCTGCGCCGCGCGCGCCATGCTTGGCCTGCGCTTGACACGCACTAGCGCCATTCCATGAGCACGCTTAAGCTGCGCCCGGGCTGCGCCGCGCGAGCCGCGCCATAACTACATGTTCACCAAGCCTGAATCACAATGTTCCGACACCTGAATTGTACCAGAACTACTATGGATCTACATTACTTGCACTGGGCAACGCTGGGGCCAAACTGGCACTACACTGGAACTGCGCGCGAACTATATTTGGACTAGACTTGAACTACACTTGAACTACAAGGACTACGCCTGAACCGCACTCTTTAAGTACACCTGAACCTCTCTCAAACCGCACTTGACTTACTTTAAAACATCACCTCAGCGTCTGTTCAATCGCACTTGCGCTACACCTCAACTACACTTGAGCTGCCATGGTTACGCCTGAGCCACACGCGAACAACACCTGAACTATTTAAACTTCGCTTGGACGACACTGGTTCTACGTATTCACTGGACTTGCGCATCGCCTAAACTGCACATGCGTGACACTCGAAGAGCAATTGCTATCCTTGAGCCACTCTTGAACTATACCTGGCCCAGACCTTGAGCAATCTTTGAACTATGCGCGAACAGCCGTATACGCGGGCTACACGTGAAGCAGACTTGAGCAACATTCGACATGCCCGCACTGCACTGGTACCGCGCTTGAGCTACACCTGAATTACACTGAGCCATACTGGAACCACAATTCAGCTACACGTGAACTAACTTGAAGCACATGTGAACTACATTTGACACACACTTGATCTGCAAAGACAGCATCGGAGCCACGCTCGAGCTATTCTTGCTACGCGGGCTACACAGCAACCGCAGGCTGAATGCATTTGATCAGTTTTTGGCTCGCTGTGGATTACACGTTGAACTACTCTCGAGCAAAACTTTAACAACACTTGCTCGGCATTCGACCTACATGTGCATCACAAGGGCTATACCTGAACCGCACCCGCACTACATCTGAAATGCACTCGGATCACACTTGAACTTTACGTGGGCTTAGCCTGGAAGCTTGAACTACACATGAACTGCACTCCAATGACTACACCTGGCTTCCACTTGACACATGAATTACGCTTGCTCTGCACTTGAACTACACTCGACTACACTTGCGCTACACCCGACCAGCTCTTTAACATGCCTGCGCGGCGCATGAGCCATGTTATATTTTCAATGGCTGCACCCGAACCACACTCGAAACAAACCCGAAACACAGATGATCTGCACTTGGACCGCACTTGAATACATTGAAAAATCATCTGGACCACACATGAAATACACTTTCTGCAAGGATTACACCCGAGCCGAGGTCGAACCACACCCGGAGCACACTTGAACCGCATTTGGTTTACATTGCCATCATACTTGAGCCGCACTTGGGCTACACTTGAATTGCACTCCGGCCACACTTGAAATACACGGACTACGCCTGCACCGCGTTCGAACTGCCCTTGATTTTCCCCCATGCCACGCTCGAACTACATCTGAACTGCACTTGCACTACACTTGAGTTATACCTGCACCAGGCTGAAGGTACGCATGAACCAGGCACCAGGCTGAAGGTACACAAGGCCTGCCCCTGTGCAACACTTTCACTACACCTGCATCTCACTTGACAAAGCGTCTCCACTACATGTGAGCCACGCTTGAACTACATTCGGGCGACACTTGAATTTGTACGCTTGAACTAGACTTGGGATGCACGGGCTACACCTCAACCGCATTTGAACTACGCCTGAACTGCACTCGAACTACACTACATTTGGCATAAACGCGGGCTTCACTGGAATTACACGCGCGCTACACCTGAACTACAATGGCGGCGCGTGAGACACATTTGGACACTAGTTGACCTACACCTGCACCGCACTTGGACCACACTTGAACCAACTCCGGACTACACTTGAAGTTCATTCGAACCACACTTGAGGCTCGCTTGAACTACAAGGGCTATGCCGGAACCACACTTGATCTACACCTGACCCGCACATGCGCTACACTTGATCTACACTTGAACGGAATCCGAACTGCAGTCCATGCACACTTGGACTAAACTTGGACGGCAATGGCTACCCTTGGACCACACTTGAACTACGCTGTAACTACACTCGAACCCCACTTGGGTTATTATTGAAACGCGCGTTGGCCACACCTGAACTACACTTGAACTCGACGTGCGCTGCGCATGCACTACGAGGGCGACTCGCCACCGTGGTTGGATTATACTTGAGCTGCACTTGATCCTCACTGGAACGTTCTTTGGACCACCCTTGAAACGGACAAATTTAAGCTACACTTGAACGAGATTTTGGTTTCGCTTGATCATTGCTCGACAGGAGCCGCGTCCTGGGCCTCGGAGGCCGCCGCCACCGACCCCGCGTGGGAGGGCGGGGCGGCTGGGAAGGTCCAACATGCTCCAGGAGGTCCTCCAGAGGCTCCCAAGACGGCCCAAGCGGGCATAGGCCCAAGACGGCCCGAGAGGCCCCCCAAGGTACTCCACGACGCTTCAAGATGCCTCTCCAGAGCGCTTCAAGAGGCCGAAATCGTCAGTTGTACAAAAGATTTCGAACGATTTTGGCTTTCCAGCCTTCTCGGCTGTCCGACGTTCCAAGACGGCTCAATAGGCCCCCAAGAGCGCCCCAAGACGGCCCAAGAGGGTCCCAAGACGGCCCCAGAGGCGTCCGTAGCCATTTTGGCTCAAGCCATTCGGCTAGCTGGCGGCGGCGCGATTGCATTCTGCATTCGTACTTTCTCGGTATGGAGCTGTCTGGTGTTCTTGACTCCATTGCCGCTTCGTCGCTATGCGCCAGCGACCGCCGCTTTGCCACTCGAGCGGCCATCGTTCATTTCAGTGCTAATACGGACCGCCAAGCAGAAGAGGACCCACTTGTTATTCAAGAGGCTATTCTGACATCTCTTGATTGCTCTCGGATTCAAGATGCGAAGCTACGTCTTCGTAATGGAGGACACCACGCTCTATCTAATCGGCCCGGGCTCTTGAGTCGCAAGAGAATGCGGCCGCCCACCCGAAATGGTCCTCCCTCTTGTCTGAGAGCACTGCCCTCCCCCCAACGCTCCCACAGCAGGAGACTGGCGACGTCTGATGAGGAAATGGCTGCGTTTCCGATTGATTCGTCTGAGGGGGAGGTCACAGACCCCACCGCCAAATGTATGCAGCTGGGCAGTGCCGAGGAAGAGTTGTCTGGTCCCATGCCTAATCATGATATGAATGTGGCAGCGAGTACGGAGTGTTCCCTTTCTCAGACTCGCATGACCGACTCCCATCTTGTCGAGGACTACCTGTCCCAGCATCCCGCAGCGGATGCCTGAGGATGGCTCTGGCGGCTCGACCATGCTGGCAACGGATGTAGTGAAGCTCTACCTGGACGCGTGCGCGGTTATGAGTGCTGGTCGCAGGGCTCAGTGTGATAGCTGGTTGCTCTCCCTTGCGAACTACCTCAAGCCCAGCCTAAGCGATGACCCCGCCGGCATGATCCAATTCATCATCACCGATAACCCTATGGATATGATTGTGGAACTTGGAAATAGGCTTGGAGTGTTGTCAACACGGGTTGCCTCTCAGAATACACGTGTTCATGGGGGCGCGAGTGTAGATTCGCCAGTTGGTAAGCAGCCCGCAGAGGACAAAGTGCTCCTGCGCGAGAAGACCTTTCATTTCAATTGTCCCGCGCTGCGTGGGCTTCGCGAGCGCATGTCTCACACATCGGGAAAATATTGCTGCGACTACTGTGGTCAGGACATCAATGCACATGAGAGCTTCTTGGTATGCACATCATGCGACGTCGACGTGTGTACGGAATGCCAAAACAATGCTGCTGCTATGAAAGGCGCCATGAACATGAGTTGACACACGTTTTTGTTGTCGTGTCTCTAATGGTCCCACTTGTGCCCTCTCTGAGGCTCTGAGATTGTGGGTATCAGGAGTGCCGAGCTTCCTCCGATTATTATAGTGCTACTGTCCTACTGGTTATGTTGTGTATGTGAGTCATTTTGGCTCCACCAACTGCCAGGATGCTTCCTGCCCCGCACTGTGTCGTTTGTGCAAAAGTCACACCGCTCTGCAGGCCAGTTTGCCTCCTTGATGCTGATGATCTCGTCTCGGTCACGCGTGCGTGCTCAAGATTGTTCAAGAAGGCAGCGGTCTTCTACACCAAGTTCCGTATCTATGATGCCTGCTACGGGTGCCACATCGCTCTTCAGTCCGTGAGGTTGAAGTGGTTCTCCGCCGAACACGAATCTCAGTTCTCGGACACTCGCGTCAAAGTGGGTGGTGCACTCATTCCGTGGAGTCAAGTGGTTCCTCACTAATGCATATCGGGTGTGACTTGCAAGTGGGTCACTTCTCTGTCGCAAGTATTGTATCCCATGTTGCTGATTGGCGTTCCCTCTCGCATTCGATCTTCCTCCGGGAATGAGCGCGGTTGGTTTATCTCGTCACGTTTGGTGACCGTTGAATGCAATGTTGGCCCTAACTTGCCCCCCCCCTAAAAAAACAGCCCCAGAGTCGCCCAGGACAGCCCGACAGATCCCCAAGACGGCCCCAAGATGCGCCCAAGAGGGGGGCCACGACTCCAAAATTCGACCCCCCCGCTTGAAGAGTGCCCCAGGAGGCCCCCAAGAGGCACCCAGGAGGCCCGAACGAGGCCTAACGAGGCAACGCAACAGCCCCGAGGAGGCCCCACAACGGTCCCAAAACGGCTACCGAGAAGCTGCGAAACTGCCTTCACGACGTCCCCGACAGGCCAACCACGAGATCCAAACCAACGCCGCTGAGGCCTCTGACCCACCACCCAAGGCACTGTGGCGGGAGCGGTGACAGCACTTGTGCACAGCGCGTTCCGGCGGGAGCCTTCCGGAACACGCTGCAGGAGGGGGGGGGATATCAGGAGGAGAGAGAGCTGGAGTGGGAGGGGGGGAGGGGGGCGAGGAGGAGGAAGAGGCCTCCAAGACAGCTCCAAGATAACCGAAGAGGCTTCCAAGAGGGCCCTGGGCGGCCCACGAGGGCCCCAAGGCGGCGCCTGAGGCGCCCGGGAAGGCCCGAGAGGGCCCCAAGACGGCCCCAAGAGGGGCCCAAGAAGGGAAACACGAACTGAGAGTCCGAGCTTTCTACCCCGAGAGGTTCTCGGGAAGTCCCAAGAGGCCCCCAATCGGATCCAAGAGGCCTCCAAGAAGCTCCCAAGAGGGCCGACGAGGTTCCAGGAGATCTCCCAAGGTGGCCCCGAAAGGCACAATTCATTGTTTTACGATTGGGCTTTGACGGGTTTTCATTTTTTCTGCCTTTTGGCATCCCGATGCTCCAAGTCGGCCCAGGAGGCTTCCAATGCCGCTCCAATATAGAGCAAGAGGCCTCCAAGAGGGCCCCAAGACGACCCGCGAGGGCCCCGAGACGGTGCTTGAGGCGCCCAAGACGGCCCGAGAGGGCCCCAAGAGCCCCAAGAGAGGCCCAAGAAGGGGAACGCGACCTAACAGCAAAGCGTTCCCCCCAAAAGGCCCACAGGAGGCCGCAAGAGGACCCCAAAAGCTTCCGGAGGGCCCAAAGGGCCCCTAGGAGACGTCCAAGAGGTTTTAAAATAGCCCACGAGTGCCTTCGATGCGTCAAAACTGCTTCCAGGAGGGCCCCGGGAGGTTTCCGGATTGCCTCAATCAGGCCGCAGGTGGCCTCAAGTCGGGTTTCCACGCAGCCAAGGCGGCCAATTACGGCTTCAGATTGCAGAACCGATGCCCCCAAGGGACCTTCAGACGCCCCCCAAGAGGTGCCTCCAACAGCCAGTTGACGAAGCATGCGGATCATTTCAGAAGCTACTCAGATGCCGTCGCGCGCCTGCGCTTGATAGCGTTGTCCAAGATCGTCCAGCGCCCCCCCGACCTGGGCTAGATGGTTCTAGTACACACACACACACACACATATATATATATATATATATATATATATATCCCGGGGGACGAGGCCGCCTGGAAGGGCCAAGGGACCACGGGGGGCATGGCGTGTCGCGGCCTCCGGGAGCGCTCGCGGACGGCCCAAGGCAGTCCCGAAACGTGCTGAAAAGGGCTCCAAGAAGGCTCCAAGACGGTCCAATGCAGCCCAGAGAGTCACCGAACCATCGCCCCAAGACGCCCAAGATGGCCCCAAGGCGCTCCGTAACCATGTTGGCTCAAGACATTGTGGCAACTCTTCAGGAATAGGGAACATTTGGTTTGCACCTATTGCTGCCGAGCCCCTGTTACTCCGCCGTTGCCGCAATGAACGTCGTGGTGCTTGCGGGAGCGTTCGCCATCCTGCTCGTCGGCCGCGACTGCGTTGCCGCCGATGACTTAGCCAAGACCTCGGAGGAACGCTACCTGATGGAGGACGATTCGCACAACTGCGACGCCACGAACGAGGCCGACGGCGTGGGGCTACTCCAGTCACGGGCGTCGGGCCCCAGCGAACCGCAAATCGCGAACATTTGGAAGGACGAGACGCCGGACCACAAACAATATGAGGAGGCGAGAGTGGAGGATATACCGACCGATGTCCAGAACCTCAACTCTACCATGCATCGCCAGCATAAACATCCTGGCGACGTGCATCTCCGTTCCTCGAAGTGTGATGTGGATTGCCCTGAAGCAAACACTTACTGCTGCAACAAGATTGGTGGGCTGTCTTGCTGCGTGGACCAGGATGGTGATAAGGTTGCTCCAGGATATAAGTGCGGATATGGATTTTTTGGCCAGTGCACAAAGGGTTATTGTTGTCAGCAGAGTCGGGACAACATATGTATCCCGTGCTAGCTCAATTGTCCTCTCAGAATCCCGCTCGGTTTAACGTCCCGCCCGCTCGAGTGAGAACCTGCGCGCAAAGTCGCGTTCGCCGGGTCTGTCCGCCCGGCGCGACCCCAGCGAAGAGAGATTGGCAACGCGAGATGGGGGAAGCGAACCGTAAGGGCAACAACAAATTATTCACTGCGTGGAGCTCCCCATATGTGCATCTATTCGCATGGACCTGTCCGCCGTGAATGTCTAGGCGCAACAGCTTTCGAATATAAACGGGCTTCAGTTGTGACGGTCTGGACAAATCTACCTGCGAGTGAATTGGAGTGTGAATGAGCCTCAGTAGTACGAGCGCGTGTCTGTGCATGAGCCTGGGGCCTCCTGGGGTCTCCTGAAACCTACTGGGGTTTCCTGGGGTCTCCAGGAGCCTCTTGGGGCCTCCTGGGACCTCCTAGGGAGGTTTCGTGCCCCAGGAGAGGCGCAATATAAAGCAACAGACGTACATAAAACATTGCGGATTAGAGCCGCAGGAGAAGGGCAATCTATAGGAACACGCGTAAAACACCAAGGACTCGTGCCCCAGGAGAGGCCCAATATATAGGAACATAAGTAAAACATGTAGGATTGTGTACACCGGAGAAGGTCAATCTATAGAAACGTTCGTATAACATCAAATAATCGTGCTCCAGGTGAGGCCCAATCGATAGGAGCATGCGTAAAACACATGGGATTGGAGCCACTCCTGCTGCCTTCTGAGGCCTCCTGCTCCTGGGGCCTCTCGGGGCCTCCTGTTGCCTTCCGAGGCCTCCTGGCGTTTCCTGTTGCCTCCTGGGGCCTCCTGTGGTTTCCTGAGGCCTTCTGGAGCTTCCTGGGGCCTCCTGGAGCCTCTTGGGACATCCTATGGCCTCTTGAGTCTTTCTGTGGCCTCCTGATGCCTTCTGGGACCTCATGTGGTCTCCTGGGGCCTCCTGGAGCCTGTTGGAGCCTCCTGTGACATCCTGAGAAGAATCTGCGCCCACCAGCCTGGCCACCAAAACAAGCAAACCGATCGAGGCATCCTCAACATCTGGCCCACCTGGGGGGTGAGAATGAGCGCCTCGCTCGAGACATCCTCCAAATCTGCTGCGAAAGCGAAGGATGTTGGCACAGAAAACAGGCAAACCGCTGTAGACACCCCCACAAAATCCTGCGAAAGGGGCCGAGTGAAACACCCCCCCGCCGCTCCCCTTAGGAACGTAAAAATGAGCGCCTCGCTCGAGACATCCTCCAAATCTGCTCCGAAAGCGAAGGATGTTGGGACGGAAAACAGGCAAACCGCTCGAGACATCCCCACAAAATCCTGCGAAAGGGGCCGAGTGAAACACACCCCCGCCGCTCCCCTTAGGAGTGCTGAAGCAACAGAATCGCCTGAGACATCCTCAACATCAGTGTGTGTGTGAGTCATCCGATGAGTGGACCTGAGTGAGTGTAGTGAATGTATGAGTACAAGTACGAGTGAGTCTGAGTGATGAGTGAGTCTGAGTGATGAGTGAGTCTGAGTGATGAGTGAGTCGGAGAGATGAGTCTGAGTCATGCCTGAATCCGAGTGATGAGTGAGTCTGAGTGATGAGTGAGTCTGAGTGATGAGTGGGTATGAGTGATGAGTGTGAGGTGGTGTTCTGTTCTCTCTCTGTTCCTGCGGCGCGGTCCGCCAATAACAAGAACCCCATTCTCAGGATATGGGGAAAAAGATGGCCCCAAGGCGTCGCAAGAAGGCGTCAAGGCGCTTCAAGGTGCCTCCCACAGGCCTGTCAAAATGCCCCCAAGAGGGCAACAAATTCCAATTCCTTTGGGAACGTGCATTTTTAGCAAAAGCACTTTCTCGCTTTGCCGACGCTCCAAACAGTTCAAGAAGCCCCGAAGACCGCCTTAATTCAGCCCATGAGGGCCCAACTTCTTGTTCATGAGTGTGGTCACAGGGCATTTCACGGAGTCCGCAATCATAGGTCGGGTCGTCCTCGTGTGTTTCACGGCCTTCGTGATCACGAGCGCGATCACAGTGCATGTCACGGAGTCCGCAATCACAGGTCGAGCCGTGCTTGTGAATTTCACGGTTTT